TTTTAAACTCTGGGTTGCTTACCCAGAGAATATATAAGGGTCCCTGTGCAGTGAAGTGCCTTGCAGAACACTACACCTAGTTTCCAGTTTGGAATTGTGGTAAATACAGGGTGGGGCAAAAGTTGGTTTATGGTTGTTCGTGTGGCAAATAATACAATTAGTAATACAAGGATAATCTCCATGTTTCATGTATCACAACTCCAACCTACTCACAACTGTAAACCTACTTTTGCCCCGTCCTGTATAAGTTCTGAGGGTTAGGCTGATAAACGGAAACCACTTGGTACCTAGCTCACCTGCTGGGCCATGGAAGATTAGAATCCAAGAGTCCCATCGTGTCTGTAGAAGACAGAACTAGGACTTTGAGGCTGAGGGACCCCTACATGTGGAAGATGCTACTGTTCTGTGGAATCTAAATTCCCTCTGACCTGCCTGGCAATGATTGACCCCAGGGCAGACCACCCAGAACACTCCACAACATCTTGAAATATGGGAGTAGCTTTATTTTCTTTTAAAATGCAGTTTCACTTTTCAATATTAAGGTAATATATAGGCATTAAATATTTTTGTGAAAAGTAGAAAGAAAAAAAATCACTGTACTCAGCATTTAAAGACAACCACTGGAAACATTTTCCTGCATTTCTAAGTTTTTCTACACACTTTAAAAATTTTTATGAGAGAGAGAGAGTTCAATTTTGTTGTTCCACTTATTTGTGCATACATTGGTTGATTCTTGTATGTGCCCTGACCAGGGATCGAACTCACAACCTTGATGTATCAGGATGACGTGCCAACCAAGCTGCCAGCCCAGGGATTTCTACACACTTATTTAGTTATGATTGTATTACATGTGCCAGGTGGTTATCTTACCTTTTTTCCGAACATTATAATGAAGCATTTTCCCACTAAAAAACTTCTTTATATGCATCTTTCTGACTGCAACGTACATGTTACTCTGTTCTCTGTCATTTACCCTATTTGAATTTTCCTTCGTGTTGTTTACAGGTTCTCACTGTTGTAAATAATGCTATGGTGAACATTTTTGTGCAGTGTTTTGTTTTGTTTCGTTTTGTTTTTTGGTAATTAGGATTATTTCCTCAGAATAAATTCCTACAAATGTAATTATAAGACTCTTGCTATTTATTGCCAACTTGCTTTCCCAAAGGGCTGAACCTATTTATAGAGAGGCTTTCTAAATAGATTCTAAAACAATTCCACATGTGCCTCATATCTGTGTTCCGTAGGGAATGCTAATTGGCTCATGGTTACTTTTCAGGCTCTTAAACTGATGTGTGTGTATGTTTTTTAAACTAGCTTTGTTTTTTAACAACTTTTTGTTTTGAGATAAGTGTAATATTCACATGCCAATTATAAGAAATAAGAGAATTCTGTTTCTTCCAATGACAGTATCTTGCAAAACTATAGTGCAACATCACAAAACTTTTACTATTTTTTAGGTCAAAGGAGTGTTTCATAATATTAAAAGCAATTTTCAAAGGATCTAGAAAATATTTAAAAATACAAGTGCATATAAGTAAATAAAATAGATAAATTAAAGTCCCTTTCCTCCAACCCCTGGCCTCATTCCTAGAGGAAACCACTGTAGAGGGGGGTGGGGAAACCCAAGTAGAAGTTTCTATTTTCATGTTTCTCAAATGTGTGTGTGTGTGTGTGTGTGTGTAGTACAGTGGCTTGATCTAAGGAATACTACAAACTTCAGATAAAATCTCTCATGTCACTTAGGCCCCAGGAAACACGAAATAAGCATTCTTAAGGCATCTATATATATAAAAGCGTAAGTGACCATTATGACTGGTCACTATGACCATGCACTGACCACCAGGGGGCAGATGCTCAATGCAGAAGCTGTCCCCTGGTGGTCAGTGCGCTCCCACAGGTGGAGCACCGCTCAGCCAGAAGCTGGGCTCACAGCTGGCAAGCACAGTGGCGGTGGCGGAGCCTCTCCCACCTCTGCTGCAGGCAGGTGGTAAGGTGGGAGGGGTCCTGGACTGCAAGAGCCCCAGACTGCAAGAGTAAGCATAAAATAATGCATTTTTATTTCAGTGGCACCCTGGTGGGGGCACCTTGTCTCTGAGAGTAGGGGAAACTATCAGGTTCCCTGATGGGAAGTTGCATCTTATTTCAAGCAGTAGGGAAACAGGACCTGGGTCTGCATTAGCATTGAACTCTCAGGGTATACAGGGATCTAGGTGAGGCCCAAGGAACTTTGCTCCCATGATATTAAATTACTTGTCTAATTATTGAAAATGTATGTGATCTTTAATGAGCTGACATTTAATAAGCATGTGTTTTATTATTGATTTTAGAGAGGAAGGGAGAAGGAAAGATAGAAACATCAATGAAAAGAGGGTATCATTGGCCCTGACTGGTTTGGCTCAGTGGATAGAGCATCAGCCTGCGGACTCAAGGGTCCCGGGTTCGATTCCGGTCAAGGGCATGTACCTTGGTTGCGGGCACATCCCCAGTAGGGGGTGTGCAGGAGGCAGCTGATCGATGCTTCTCTCTCATCGATGTTTCTAACTCTATATCCCTCTCCCTTCCTCTCTGTAAAAAATCAATAAAATATGTATATAAAAAAAGAGGGTATTGCCGAAACCGGTTTGGCTCAGTGGATAGAGCATCAGCCTGCGGACTCAAGGGTCCCGGGTTCGATTCCGGTCAAGGGCATGTACCTTGGTTGCGGGCACATCCCCAGTAGGGGGTGTGCAGGAGGCAGCTGATCGATGCTTCTCTCTCATCGATGTTTCTAACTCTATATCCCTCTCCCTTCCTCTCTGTAAAAAATCAATAAAATATATTTAAAAAAAAAAGAGGGAATCATTGATCGGCTGCCTCCTGCACGCCCCACACTGGGGATTGAGCTCACAACCCAGGCATGTGCCCTCACCAGAATCAAACCGTGACCTCCTGGTTCATAGGTCTACAGTTAACCACTGAGCATGCTGGCCAGGCCACATTTTTGTCTTTTTAAAACTTTTAAAATAATTTCAGACTTCTAGAAAATGGCAAGAATATAATACTCCTTTATCCAGAGACTCCATTCCTTTAAAGCAGGGGTGGGGAACATCTGGCCATATTAGGCCCGTGAAATCATGTGGTCTGGCCCTGCCAAGGTATTAAGGATGAGTTAGATGTTTCACCAAATATAGCAGGCTCATTTTTTTTTAATGTTTTTATTGATTTTGTTTTAGAGAGAGAGGAAGGGAGAAGGCTGGGGAAATAGAAACATTGCTAAGAGAGAAACATCAATTGGCTGCCTCCTGCATGCACCCCACTGAGGATTGAGCCCGCAACCTGGGCATGTGCCCTGACTGGGAATCAAACCGGTGACCTCTTGGTTCATGCTCAACCACTGAGCCACAGCGGCCAGGCCAGGCTAATTTTTAAGTTGATAATTTTGTATGGCCTGCGAATGATGTTATAAATATCCAAATGGCCCTTGGCAGAAAAAGGGCCACCCCTGCTTTAAAGGAAAGGATACAACCCAGGACCACACACTGCAGCCTTCTAGTCTCTTTCAACCTAGTGATATTCCTATTTTTCCTGGGCATCTATGACCTTAACATTTTTTAGGGTTATAGGCTAGTCATTTTGTGAATGTCTCTCAATTTGGCTTTGTCCAGTGATTCTGCATGATTAGACCCAGTTTATGTCTTTTAGGCCAGAATGTCAAAGATTCGGTGTTTTTCATTGTATTCTGTCCTTCTGTCTAGTTACTGGTGAGGTTACTTACCTTTGTTCACCTGAAGCACAACAGGGTGTCCCAGGCTGGTCTTGTTCTTTCCATGACTCAACCCTAGAATCCGCCATATCTCCACGAAGCCCTGGTTCCTTTTAGTGGAGGGAGGTGTGTGGCTGCTAGGTGTGCTCATTACTATTGGGGTGTTGGTGCTCCCAGGCCATCTCATAGGACAGAGCTAGGGAACTTTTACATTTATATTTATTTCTATGTACATATTATGTTCATACAAAATACCCCCAATTCCTACCTATCCCACAGGGGGTAAGTTTTTGTCTTTTTAAAAATATGACAGTGCCCTTATCCTTCACAGATCTGTCATGTTGGAAACTCTTGAATTCGTTGAACCCTTAGGAAATAATATAGTAACAGTTGTTAATTTGGACAACTAAAGTTACAGGAACAATAATAATTTAAAGATATTATTCAGGAAAGTGAGTTTTGAGCAAAATCTACAGAAAACAGGCTTTCTAGGTATAGCTAAGAAACTACTCAAAGGTGTGTCTGAAAATAGACTTTCCTGTTCGGAGCAGAGGATCTTTGCTGTGGGCTATGGGAAGTGAGGCTTGTCAGATTGATTGATTTTATGACTCACTTATGGTCCATCTCCTTTAGGTTCTGATTTATCAGGTCTGGGACCCAAGAATCTACAAGTAACCCAGGCAATTATCTATAATAATAAAAGCATAATATGCTAATTAGACCGGACAGCTGAACAACCTTCCAGACGAAGCCGCGGCTGCGAGGGCTGAGCCCCTTGCATGAATTTCGTGCATCGGGCCTCTAGTTTTTATCATGTTTGAGGAAACTCTTACCTACATTGGGGAGGACCAGGAGAATTTTTTTTTACCATGCCGATGTTCCACATGGACATACGGGGGCGCGGGCATGGGTTTGAAATGTGGCAGGAAATATATTTTGAGGATGTTTCCCAGTGGAGAACTACCGCTACTGGGGTAGAATCCCTGCAATATGTGTCGGTATTAAAGTTTTAGTGAATAAAACGTAACTCTGAGGAGGGCTGTAGCTTAAAAGTCCAGATTCTTCAGAGCTTGTGTATGTACAAATGCTACAGAACAGCATTTGGAACAAAGAAATAATAGATAACATGCATTAGCTTTGGCTCTATGTATGCAGAACTCTATTCTTCTGATTGACTCTATCTATTGGCAGGATGTATCTGTGGTGGAGTTCCATCGGCAGCAAGAGGCTTCAATTTTTGTTGCTTTTTCTGTTTCAGATGAGACAAAAGGACCCAGTGAAAGGAATGACAGCAGATGACTAAAGCCACTCCACTCCCTTCTGCACTGTATGTACCCAGTTTCTCGCTGTGTATGTCATAGGTGCTAAAATCAGTTTGGGTCCTCAAGGCCTCAGCGGCTCACTATGGAGTCCGAAAACCAACTTCATTCTTCATCCTACTCTCTAGGAATCATGATGACTGTCACAGGCTTGTCATGCTTTTGGACTTCCACTGAAAGAAATTATGATTGTTGGTACATTTCAGGGACAAAGAACTATCCAGAAAGAGACAGACAGGGTAGTGAGACAGGATGGGATGGGGGCGGTGGGTGCAGAATTGAAGCTTCTCTGAAACTAATTACTCTTCCTCTCCTAACTTGAGCCATTTCAAGTTGAAGCTAGCATTCTAGGCACTCTCTTTACCCCCCACCCAGACCCAGTGCCAGAGCAGTTCCTAGCTCCCAACTGATAGCATCCCCTGCCCACCCCACCCTGAAAGTCTGTTGGTGTTCATTGTTGTCTGGTGCTTTATTCCCTTCCTTATACCCCCTGATCCCATACTAAGTAGCTGTCCTCATCAGAGGTAGCATCTTTCAAAAGCGTGGAGAGTATTTCTGCCCACACTGTAGGACCAGAATGGGATGTCCCTTGTTTCATATCGTTACTCTCCCCTAATTCCCTTCCTTCTAATTGCTCCCAGTGCCCTACACATATCCAGACCTGCTTTTCTAGCAGCTCAGAGTGGGTTTGGTCATGGAATGAAAAACCTGACCTTGTAGTTGAGTATTGACCCATGAACCAGGAGATCACAGTTTGATTCTTGTTAAGGGCACATGCCCAGGTTTCGGGCTCCATCCCCAGTCGGGGTTGTATAGGAGGCAGCCAATCAATGATTTTTCTCTCAGCATTGATGTTTCTATCTATCTCTCCCTCTCCCCTCCTCTCTGAAAACAATATATATATATTAAAAATACCACACAGCCCTGGCTGGTTTTGCTCAGTGGATAGAGCATCGGCCTATGGACTGGAGGGTCCCGGGTTCGATTCCAGTCAAGGGCACATGCCTGGGTTTCGGGCTCACTTCCCAGTAGGGGGTGTGGAGAGGAGGCAGCTGATCAATGATTCTCTCTTATTATTGATGTTTCTGTCTCTCCCTCTCCCTTCCTCTCTGAAATCAATAAAAATATATTTAAAAAAAAATACCACACACACACACACATACAAAACCTGGCCTTGTTCTCCATCAGTCTCTGAGAGATCATTTTATCAAATAAAAACTGGCTGTCCCCTAGCACTAGGAGGCCTGGGGTGGGAGGGATGCCGGCAGTGATGCAAACCTCTCTCCCTGACACATGTGTCAGCATGAGAACTGGGAGATCAGAGTAGGATTAAGTGGATTGTTACAGTGTCAGCTTCTCAGTCACTACTTGAACCTTACTTCTGTCTCTCCCTCTAGCCCCACCACACCAACTGGCAACCTTCTTCCTTTTGAAATTCCCCAATCAATGATTTACAGTGTTTGTTTTCCTTTGTTGCTTCCTTAATAATTGTATTTCTCTTCTAGTTTTGCAAGACAGTGGTCAACAGGAAGGCCCAGCAGCTCCACCCTCCCGAGTGACAGGCCATCTTCGGACGCAGCCTTTCTGTGCCCATTCTTCAGGCAACTTTCGATCCCTTACTATAGCTAATTCTAGACGCCCTTGAATATTGTGAACAAATAGACCCTCTGGTATTATGAAGCCCGTGTGTGCAGGAGCCTGCTCCTCCGAGATATGTGGCGTGGAGGTTGCTGTATTTACAGCTCCTCCCTCTCCAGCCATTGTGTTCTCAACCCATTTCTGTGTGCCCCCCCCGCCCTTTATTTTCAAGTGACATTGTTAGTCTTTCAAAATAGCTGCCTTTTGTGATGTGGTGATTTAATCGATTTAAGTTTGTTTGTTTTTAGCCTTGGGATAAACTGAGGTATTTTGCTTCCTGAACAGATCTTTGCAATTTTGAGTGCTCACCTGGGGATGAGTCAGAAATAGTTTTCCCCCTAGTTCCACAGAACAGCAATGTAGCTTCATAACTCTGACCTCTGCTCCCAGTAACCCATTGTTAGAGTGCTCTAAGCACCAAAGAAATACCCAAGGCCCAGCCAGCCTCTGCTTTGAAAATTTAACAAATACAAATAACCCCTGCCCCAGGCACTGCACCTCTGGTCACTAGTCTTAGAAATACCTATGGGTTCTCAGCCCACCTGTTGCCCACTCTGTCTTTGTCTCTGCAGATATGCCAGGGCCAGCTCTCCACCTGGAGGGGCCTGTCCAGTGTGACCCTTAGAATCGAGCCTGCCCTATATACACTAGTCTGCCCCCCGAGGAGCTCTGTATGTCCATGCTCCTCTTCCCATTTGGGCTGGTGCTGTCACTCAGCAATAATCCTCTTTTTTCTGTGCTTTCTTAGATTCTTGTCCTCTGTCTTTGAGGCTGGTCAGGACACAAGAGTCCTGATCTTTTCATGCTGCACAAAATGAGCATGCAAATAGCTTCTTCCCAGCCGAACATGTTCCCTCTTGTCTCCAGTTGCTGGAAAGGATTTGGGAATCAAGAACTCAGTTCATCCTGCCCCCAAGCTGAGTTCTGTCCTGGACAATCAAAAGCAAGTAGTGACCACAGTACAGAACTCTACCAAAGTAGGCCAGTGAGGGTGTCCAGGTTCCAGGGGAACAAAAGCCACTGAGCGCTTCATACTTTCCTACAACTTGGCAGAACCTGGGTATGCCTTCCCCATGGGAGAATCTGAGATAGCTGTGGTGTCACCTAACACTTCCCAAACCCTGTGAAGTAATGTTGGCCAAGTGTATAGTGATCCAAGCCCATGCTAGCCTGGGCACAGCTGCTAATGAGAGAAACCAAATCTCTGTTGGTAGAGAAGTGGGATGGGAAAATTTATCCTCAAATTTTTGTTCATTTGTTTTGCCTTATTTCTAAGTGCAATAAGGGAGTCTCTCACAGGACTGCACCTGTGACATCCTGAAGGATGCTTCCCTGTGGCCCTCCTGGGGCAAAGGTGGACAGACTCAGACTCCTCAGAATGGTTAGCTCTGACCTTCGAGGCCTGTTACACCTTCCTTTTAGTGTCCTCACCTTGTGGGGTCTATAGTAGTAAGGGATTTGGTGTGCAGTTCAGTTGGTTATTAACATCCCAACTGCTAGTAGCATTTATTTTGACTGGAAAAATTGAAGAGGCGTTCCTGTTGGAGAAAAATGTGAATGTTCTCCTACAAGCACTGCATTAGCTATAATTATATTTGTGCTTAACATTCCCCCTTCTTCATCAATTAAGTGAAGTCCAGATGTGGGTTATCCTGGGAGAAACAACTGGTAATATTCTAAGCAGTTGTTTAGGTGGTTTGAGGGTCAGATGTTAGTCTTCTTCCTTCAGCTCTTCTCTGAGATTCACACATATCACTCCAGCTCTGGTGAGGACTCACTCTTTATCTGCCTTTTCTCTGGCTCCTTCCACCTTCACCTGTTGCCCAGTATGAAAGCATCCACATGAGCTGAGCTAGAATTTCCTGGAGTCGGTTAGGTCTGGGGCTGCAGCCCATATAAGCATAAGGAGGGATTTCTCCGGTCTATTCCATCCCCACAGATGGTGTTGCTGCTGGGCAACAGTGTAGTCTTCTAAGTATCCCCTTTCCCTCTTCACATCCCCCCAAAGTAGCTAGTCCTCAGAGGGGCTTATGATGAAAGACTCAGCTCCAGGGTAGTGCCTGAGGATGTGCCCCGCCCCTTCAGATCAGCTGCTTCCTTTCGTTTCCAGGGTCACAGCCCCGGCTGGAAGCAGCAGTGCCTCTGTGGGAGGGGCGCTGGGCTCTGCCCTTCTCAGAGAGAGAGAGAGGTCAGGGACAGGTCAGTATTCTTGGCAGGCGTGGATCTTCCCAAGTTCTCTTACAGTCCCTACTGGGACTCCCTGACTTATTTTGGTTGGTTTCTAGTGCTACTTCTTTTACAAAATACACTTTGTAGACTTGATTAGATTACTTTATTTAATGTGAGTTTGTGCCTTTTTGTCTCAATCTTCCAATACAGGTATATTGGGGGGAAAGCAGTCTAATAAAATCCTAGACAGAGCTTCACGGAGTCGAACTTATTGGTGATGTCCTTATGTCCGTTTACAGCTTACATATCCTCAAACTCTTGCTGATGTCACCCATTTTGCCAGGGAAGGGTTAGGAAAGGTACCAGGTATCTCTGAAAATTTTTGCAGGTGTACTTCAGTAAATTAAACCACCCCCTTGTTATTTTACTAACGCAAACATCACATATCGGAGTCATTTGGCCATTTCCTACCGGCAGTTATTTTTGCTTTGATATCCCCTCTTCACATCTCCCTCTTCTTCCCATCCTACCAAACAAAACGTATATTTAAAATAATTCTTAACTTTGCTTCCGGGTCCGTGACCCTCATGAGGCTTGTTTGTAAAACTGAATTTTTCTCGGTGAAGTCACGGCTCTCATCAGATCCTCAAAGGAATCCCATGCACTGCCCTCCCCACCCCCGCCACCCCCAAAAAACAACCAGTGACTTTAAAGAAATCAGTTAATCTTTAACAAAGTAAGTCATAATTTCTCGTTTGGTCGTAAAATAGAAGCAGTGACTTGTGTTTCCTTCGTTGATGGCAACTTTTCTGAGTCCAAAAACCCCCATGCCCAGTGTGTAATAGGTAATCTATGGGTCTGAAGCGCGAAAAACGAGCAATTTAAACGGCGTGGAGAACTAAGAAGGGAGGAGCCCAAAGACCACCGAGAAAGATCACCTGGGGGGGGGGGG